TTATTATGTTTAGTATTATACTATTGACATTTTTACATGAAAATATTATTTTAATTTAATTCTTTTATTAAATATTAGTACTAAAAATTAAAATAAATAATGAAGTATAGAATTTTTGTTATATAAAACTTGTATATTACAGAAAGTAAATTTATCAAAATGTATATTTTACTTATAAATTCGTGTTTAATAAAATAATAATATTTTTTTAAAAGAAAATTCATAATAATTATTTTTTATATTTAATATTTTAACATCCAAAAATACTATTTTTTGACACATTTTTGGTTTTAACTCTCTAAATATAAATTAGTTCAAAATCTCTACTGACTAAAATTAACTGTTTAATTTTATTTATATTTTAAACTATTTTAATCAATTGAAGTTGATGAAAAATCTTTTTTTTTTAAATAAAGAAAATGGTTTTTTAAATGAAATGAAAATTTTAAGAATTTTTGTATTCAAAGTATAGAGAAGAGAAATGTGATTAGACCATGATTAATTTTTTGAAGTCCAATCTGATCTCTGTTCAGAATTTTATTAATAATATAATAAAAAACAAAATTTCAACGTTTCTGATTTTGAAATATCTAAAAACAATCTTTCTTTTCTTCTAAATCATTAAATAAGTTCTAAAGTGGAAATCGGTAATGGTCGAAAGTACTTTTTTTAAATAAAGCAGTATACCTTAATAAATCTATTAATGTTTTTTTAAAATTGTGTAACTAAAATAATTTGTGTTGCATTTTAAATTTAAAAAGCAGTAGAAATCGTAAGTAATGTATTATATTTCTTAATTTGCAGATCATGGCGAACAGCAGAAAAATCAAAATTCAATTTCAAGATACAAGTCACAACGTATTTGTAATTGATAATTTATTAAAAAAATCAATTATTAACGATTATTTCCCAAGCGGAAGTAACCTTAATTTTAGTTACACAATTTTAAAAAAACATTAATAGATAGAAAATTCTGAACAGAGATCAGATTGGACTTCAAAAAATTAATCATGGTCTAATCACATTTCTCTTCTCTATACTTTGAATACAAAAATTCTTAAAATTTTCATTTCATTTAAAAAACCATTTTCTTTATTTAAAAAAAAAAAGATTTTTCATCAACTTCAATTGATTAAAATAGTTTAAAATATAAATAAAATTAAACAGTTAATTTTAGTCAGTAGAGATTTTGAACTAATTTATATTTAGAGAGTTAAAACCAAAAATGTGTCAAAAAATAGTATTTTTGGATGTTAAAATATTAAATATAAAAAATAATTATTATGAATTTTCTTTTAAAAAAATATTATTATTTTATTAAACACGAATTTATAAGTAAAATATACATTTTGATAAATTTACTTTCTGTAATATACAAGTTTTATATAACAAAAATTCTATACTTCATTATTTATTTTAATTTTTAGTACTAATATTTAATAAAAGAATTAAATTAAAATAATATTTTCATGTAAAAATGTCAATAGTATAATACTAAACATAATAAAAATAATAATATGAAGAAAAATGTTTTTGACATCAATTTTTGTTGTGGTTTAAGAAATATAGTTTTAGTTTTGAACGAGTGCATGTCTATCTCCGAATCTTGATTTTATCTACACGAAATTTTACCTACTTTAAAATCTGGAATTTGGATTCAGGCAGAATTTATTGTTAAAACATGTAATATTACGATAATTTTTATTATTTCAATTAAGAATTTTATTAAAAATATGTTTTGAAAATAATTCTTTAATCTTTTTTTAATGACCAGAATCATAATATAATTAAATTTATTTGTTCCGAAACTTTAAATAAGAAGATATTTTTATATGCTACGGTGTATGTTTTCTAACATTTATTGAACCTAATTATTAAAGGTGCTAAATAAAAAGTTTGTAATTTATAATTCAGTAAATATTTTTTATCTTTAATTGTTATTTAGTCAAATGCGAAAATGATCTATATGTAAATTTAATAACGCATAATATGAAAAATCATTAATTTTTTCTAACTTTATTTAAATTAAGTCATTATTCATACAATTCTTATTCTTCAAAACTTGAAAATGAAATAATTATTTTTCTACCTAATCTTAATTGCATAAAAGTTTATTTTATGGAATTACCACTTGCACAAAAAAATAAAATTGTCTACGCTTTATTTTATCTATAAAAAGTCCAGTTGTCACTTTCGATTATTTTAATTTGCGAGTTTCTCATCCCTGTAAATTTATTCCTGTCGGTAATAGTAGAGTGAGTATAGAAATCTCCATGTATTGTGTTTTTATATATTTCACTAGAAATTGTTTTAACAATTTTTTTTTAATTTCTAATTTACTCAGGGTGATAATTAGTAAGTGTGATTAAATCACATTGTAAATAAATTAAATGTAAATTGTAGATGTAGACTCGCGATAGTGATAACAGAAGTTTATTTATTCAACAAAATAAATTTTACTAAATTTTTATTTATAATCAACAATTCGTCGAACCCTACAACAATCTGTAAGCAGTCCATTGTTTTCATTTGAAAGTAAATTATACAAAATTTGTAATAAAATTTAATATTTCTGTTTCAGTTGCAAAAGGAAATGGAAACAATTAACCGATAATCCGAAATAAAAATGCGGTCATGTTCAAGAGAGTTGAAGTAATTATTTATTCAAAAACGTGAAATCCCGAATTAAATTCTGGGTGCTTTTTAAAGGTGAGAGTACGTCTAAAAAATCTCGTACATTACAATTTTTTGAAAATATAGGTGATTAAAATAAAATTCAATTTTATTTGTCTTTATATTCCAAAAACATCCAAGTATCGCTCCAACGGTTGCTGATTAAATGCAATGTATGCGTTTAAAAACTCCAATGGTGTTTTGTGACCGTCATGAATTTCTAACCAACCATTCACAATTATTTGGTCTCTCATGATCGTTATTGCTTTAGGACTTCTGGTTATTTCGTTTCCTCTCTCTAAGGTCTGAAAATCCAAAAATAATACCGCTTGGTAGTTGAGTAATTTTTTCGTGAATGGCCAAATGCTGGGATGAATTCCAAAGTGTCTTTTTAATGTCATGTGGTATGATTCGATTGTGTTGTTGGTTCGGTTCGCTAAACCGTACACGCTAAAGACTTCTGGAGTCGTGAATCGTAACCATTGGTTTTCGTAGTATTCCAAAAATCCTTTCATTGTTCTTAAGCATTCTGCACTTTTCGAGCGTTTAATGGACCTATACGTTTGCTCAATGACTCCGGGTGGAAGTAACGCTAATGTCATAATTTGGCGCATGAGGTGAATGCCTTCTTGGTTATGCTTTAAATAAGTTTTTAAACCGAATTTTTTTACAGCCTTCCGATAGTTTGCCTAAATATAAAAATTATTTTATTTTATTATTCTTTATAGAAACGATAATATTGCTTGCTTATAGAAATACAGATAATTAAAGTATATCAACTTTCAAAAATTCATTTCATTCAATATATCAACTTTCTTTCTATCAACTGTAATTCAAATCATTGAACCTTCATTCAAATTATAAAATAATAGTGAACAAAGATGCAGCTCTAAACAAATCGTCAACTCATTTACATTGTTAACACTAGACTCCTAACTAAATTAAAATTATAGTACAAAATAATTGGATAAGTGGGAGTATAACTCGCGCCTTGCCTACAGTTACATACCAGAAACAAACTACCAATTTTTGTTGATTTTTTTAAATATTAACTTTTCGAAAAAAAAATTTTAATCATTTTCAATCGAATAAGGATACAATTTATTTTATCAAAAGGAACTCGTAAAAGTGCAATTTCAATTGGATTAGCTCCAATTTATTTTTTCTAACCCTCAAGAGAAAATATACTATATAATAAGAACCAAGTTTTTAGACAGTTTCGTCAAAAGTTCTGAGTTCCAATTTTTCCAATTTTTTTTCACACTGTTTTAAAGTCTAAGTGACATAAAAAAATATATATACAAAAATACATTTTTGTATACAATTTACCTGTGTGTAATGAACGTAGCAAGCATAATGTCTGTGTTATTTGTGTATAGTTTGTGTGCAGTTTGGCTTTATATGATTATGTGAAAAAAAATTCATAAAAGTGTATGAAATCCGAGTAAGTATATCAGAAATAATAATTTAAAAGTAAACCTAACCTATAAAAGTTTGTGTTCGAAATCTCCAAGTGTTGTGTTTTTATATATTTTACTAGAAATTGTAACAATTTTTTTTGAATTTCTAATTTACTCAGGGTGATGATTAGTAAGTGTGATTAAATCACATTGTAAATAAATTAAATGTAAATTGTAGGTGTAGATTCGCGATAGCGATAGCAGAAGTTTATTTATTTAACAAAATAAATTTTACTACATTTTTATTTATAATCAACAATTAGTCGAAAACTACAACAATCTGTAAACAGTCCATTGTTTTCATTTGAAAGTAAATTATACAAACTTTGTAATAAAATTTAATATTTCTGTTTCAGTTGCAAAAGGAAATGGAAAAAATTAACCGATAATCCGAAATAAAAATGCGGTCATGTTCAAGAGAGTTGAAGTAATTATTTATTCAAAAACGTGAAATTGAATCATCTTTTACAAACTAAATTTGCTGGGTTCTTCTTCTTTAAAAAACAATTACTTTTTTAAAAAAATAATTTTTTTAAATTCATCGTAAACTGTGTGTACCTAATATTATTATTTTATTCCAGAGCCAAATGAAAGATAAAATCTGCCAAAGAAATACAGGAGACTGTCAGATTATTTTCAACGATGTGGAACATTTAAAGCAACTGTCCCCAAATGGAAGGAAATCCAATGGACCTTCATCGAAGAAAGCTTGTTCCCGAATTAAATTCTGAGGACTACTTTAAAGGTGAGAGTATTTCTGAAAATATTCCATAATAGTGTAATTTATCAGTACCATATTATATAAATGGCTTCACAATTCGGGGTTCCAAACGTTTGAATAAATACAAATTTAAATATATACCTATATTGTCGATTCAAAATAAATTGTTTAATTAATCCTTAAAAAAGTGTACAGTGAAGACTGTAGAGTGTAATTTGAAAAAAAATAAAATTAATGTAAGAAACTGGGACAAAAGGGAAGTCTCACAAGTAGTTTCTGTACAAAATACAAATAGCTTTGAATTGAAAAACATTTTTAATAATAAATTTTCACTAAGTACGCGTAATTATCACGACAAGTGGGACATAAGTCAAGTCCCCTTTCTTGAAATGCTGTGGCACATTGCTCACACATATTTGAATGACCGCAGGGCGCAAAAGCCATCGTCGGTGGTTGGGATTGACAAATGCAGCATGTTCGTTGATTTGCTCCTTTAAAGAAAACAATTCAATTTATAAATAGAATAAACTTAGTGTTATTTTTATTTCATTTAAAATTAAATTACTTTAGATTATAATATTTTTATTTTTACCGTTATTTGCTACCATTTCTTGATTGACACCGAGGGCCATTTCTTCTACTTCTGCCACAGCTGGGTTTTCCTCTGCGTTTTCCTCTGCGTTATTCGCATTGTCGTTGACATTGTTTTCATTTTCTTCTCCACCTTCCTGGTTCATTCTGTATCCCAGAAAGTTGACCAGCTGTTCGCCAAAGAGGAAATAAATATTCATTAAGAACTCTTTTACCGTGAGTTCAACGTTGTCTAACTTCGCCCATTTATCTTTTAGGTTTTTTAGTTGAGTTTTCACTAGGTAACGCGGAGATTGAGGTAAATTAAATTTTTTTTGGTCTATATTCTCTTTGTCTTTTCGAATTCTCTCATGCATTGAAGTCATGGCCTCTGTAAAGATAGAAAGATCTTGTGTTAGGTCAGGTAACTCAAAGAAATTTCATTCAATCAAAATATACTTGGGGGTTCCTACACATGGTTGATACTGGTCAGGGAAGTCGGGTTAACGTCAGGAAAGTAAAATTTGTCTGGGAAATCAGGGTAAAGTTAGGGAATTCCATAAAAAGTACTGAAAAAATATCAAATACCTAAAAACGCTTATAAACAATTATTTATTTATAAAATTTGTAATTCCAAAATTTAATTTTCTTTCGTTTAAGGGTTAAGTTTAAACTTAAAAGTCTATCTAAAAATCAGGAAAAGGCCAGGGAAAATGTCAAATTTTTGCAACAGAAAAATACCAAATTTATAAAGTATTTACTTGTGAATTCCCAAACGTTTTGTAAATTATCTTTTATGTGGGCGTTCAATCGCGTGCCAAATAATTCAAACACGTTTGAGATTTAGTGCGGTTTTTTGTACATAGAGAAATGATGCAGTGAGATTTGGTTGATAAGGTTCTCAATTCCTCCTAAAAGTTGGGTGACGACCTGTAAATAAATAAATAAAAATAAGGACCTTGATTAATAAATAATTATATAATAATTTCAATAATTTATTTTACCTCCCCGTGTTCTACCCACACTTCTTCTCTCCAGTGGGCTTTAATTTCCAAAATCTTTGGAATTGTTAATGTAGGAAGAGCAATCATTCCTCTTAATAATTCCTGCAATCTTATTTCTTCTTCATGATCGTCCCGAGTCGCTTCGGTTAGTTTATTTTGAACCCCATTTCTCGAAAATAAGTAAAACAGTTTCTAAAAAAGTAAAGACAGACGAACAATTGATTTCTGATGATTTAGTAAAGGGTGTATATAATATATAGTACATCTATTTTCTTACCTTCGCAATGTGATGCAAGCTGGGTTCAACGTTTGCATCTCTAAATGTTGAAATAATTCCTTCTCTCATTGCATCATTTATTGGCGTTATTACTTCGGTTATTTCAAATCCTGGCATGAGATTTTTTAAATTTCGAAATACGACTTTGTATGCCTCGACAGAAACTGAACTCATTAAAACGTGAGCAACAGGAAGAACCTATAAATGTAAGATATTAATTTTTGTTAGATATGTAAACTATCAATTATGTATATTATAATATATTACCTATTACATTATAATATATAATAAATAACTGGTTTTTTGTTTGTTTATTTGTTTAGAAGAAAAAGAATTAAAACTTACAAACATTTCGCTCCACATAGCCATTACCGTTAGTAATTTAGAGCACCCTACATTTGGAGGAACAACTCTTGTGGATTCGTTTATAAAAAATACGCCACTCTCTCGAAACACAACTGTCCGTACAAATTCAGCTGAGTCTATTATTATTACGGAATTCGACTCCTCGCAGAATGTAAAGTTTAAATTTACATTTTGATTGACTTTCAAGTGAGAGAAATCTTCTGTGTTCAATAATCTCACAAATGACGATAATGAATTTACATCCTCCAGAACGGGGGGGACATTATTCCTCCGAGCTTTTTCCATCGTACTTTTAATTTGGCGATACGGAAGGCGCTGCGCTGCATTTGGGTGACTAAAAAAAATAAAATATAAATCGTTTTCTTTTATTATTATTAAATAATAATAATAGTATTATAGAAATCCAAAGAAGTCGATAAATTGTCAGTTTGACCCTAGCTCTTATATTTTATTTTATTATTATTTTTTATTAACCTATATAAAAGCAAATAAATAATATGGAATTAATTTAAGCTTACAATACTGCCTGTCGTTCGTACAGTATCTCCAACTTGTCGTGTTGGGTCGCCGCCACTTGTTTTAAAACAGTCAGAAATGACTCGTTTTCTTCTCTGACATTAGCAGTATCACTACTATGTGTGTGACTCCGAATTAATTTGTACTCGCCGGTTCTAAAATTATACGATGCAGTCCCTTTACAATATATTTGGTTCATCGTATCGCATTTCAAAAATCTGTGTGATGAAGAGAAATTTCGTTAAATATTAAATTATATATGGGCTTCAAATCTTGCATTGGAAAGGAAAAAACCCCCGCTAGTAATTGGGTTCCACGGATAACTATACACCCAGAGAAAAATTTTATTTTAATCAAATATATTTTATTTAAGTTGAATAAACGTATACATGTCTCAGAGCCAACTAGATTATTTATTAGATTTGAATAAATATTTTATTCGACATAAATAAAACTTTTATTTCAAAGAAATTTGCTGTAAATAAAGAGCGAATCGAGCGTTTTGTGTGTAGCGCTTCAAACCGTAATTTCAATGGGAATTCAAGATTAAGATTTTTTAAACTATTAAATAAATGTACTTAAATAATTGCTAAAAATAAAAATTGTTTTCAGGTTTTTGTTCAGGAATAGGCTGAGGTTTGACCAGGTTGAGTGATTAGTCGAAAAAAAAGTAGTAAGAATAAAATTAGTTTTCTCGAGAAAAAGTGATTCATTCGTAGAATTTGTGGACAAAAAAATGAAAACGAAAAACTGTAAATTTCAAAAATTGCAAAAAGTTATTTTCGTTTTGTTGTATCTTGTTAGAAAAATTCGAATTCATCGGATTCTAATTGTGAGATCAACGGTAACAAATGAAATATTATCGGTTTCGTAATAAACATGTGTGTCTCGAATTTGTGGGGGTTTCGCAATATCATCGGAACCTGAATGTTTTCCGCAAGGGTATCTTGATCACTTTTAAATTAAAGAAACTAAATGAATGTTCACGTATGTCCCTAAAGTTCTGAACGTTCAAATGAACAAATTTGAAAAAAAATTCTATTTTAAATTCATATTTTATTATAAAACATTTCTTCACGCATCAAAAAGTTAATTGTCAAACACAATAAATGGTTAATTTACTTTTAATTTAAAATAACAGTAGTAATATTTGAAAATAATTAGATCAAAAAAATATTTTGTTCATATGAACGTTCAAAACTTTTGGATCATGTTCACTTAAAGAAGCGTCTACGATGAATGGCAATAAACTATGAAATATAAACAAAATCCTAACGCTTCAGAAAAAGCATAAAAGGGTTCTCGTCTTTACTTACACGGAGGACAGGATTCATTGCTTTTTTGTTTTATTTTAAATTTTCCTGTCTTCTTTTGTTACCTAATTTTTTGTGCGGTACCGTATATTGTATGATTTATTAATTGTCTAAAATTCTACCAGTAGATGAAATACGACAGGAGAAATGGATAATGGGACTATGAAATTTCGCATCTTCAAGGATCACATTTTCGAGAATTACAGATATTTCCACAACAAAACAAGGAGTGATGGTACAAAGTGAGTAAATAAAAAAATTAATTTTTTCTTTCAATTTTTGTAATATTCAATTAAAGAAAATTATAAATTTCATTTTTCTTAAATTAGACTAAATTGCTGAAAAGTATTCAAATTTTTGACAATAATTAAATTTCAGACAAAATTGAAGTGCATTTTTTAATAACTGATTTCTTCTAGAATATTTTTTACATTCCCGCTATTTTGCAAACTTAATTGCACAGTTTCTAAATAAATAATGATAATAGTTTCTTTAAAATAAGTTAAAAAAATCATATTTGTTAATAACAGACATTTTCACTCCCTGATCGAATAACTTGCCCTGCTCTTGAATCTACTTGAAAGAATTGTCCTGTGATCTCAAAAAAAGGATCACAATTTTTTTTCTAATTTTCTTCTTTATAACACGCACCTTTTTCCCAGTATCATTTTGTTGTAGAAAATTGAATTTAAAAAAATTTTTTTTTAAGTTTGGAAAATAATTAAACTTTTACGAATAATTTGAATATATAAATTGGAAATAATCAAATTTCACGGAGATCCACAAGTTATTCGCCTATTTTTTTGATTTTTGATTGATGTAGAAAAAAATAATTTGCATCTAAAGTAATTTAATTTGGAATATTTATATTTACAATTTTTGTCCTTGGCTATATCGAAAATAATTAATTATTAACAATTAAAATGTAATTAAGAGATGGTGGAAGGGAAAATGCCTAAAATTTTTAAGCTTTTGGACACCCTGCAAATTTTAATTTTAATTTTTTACTTCAAAACATTTGTCTTATTTATAATTAAGTATCCCTTAAATTTTTTTTCAAGATATAAAGAAAATTCTAAATTCTGCCTGTAAAATTGAACAAAAGTCGAAGGAGAGATAGAATTAAAATTTGGGGAAAACTTCAATGTTTCAATTTTATTAAGAGGTCAAGACATTATAAAAAGCTGAGAAGAAAGAATATTTGTTCCATTTTCTTTTGAAAAATGTATCATTAGGTCTGTCTGATATTTTTATCATAATTTGTCGAAATGAAAAACAGTAAAGTAAATAATTTTCAGCATGGTGGAACAATGCTGTGAAAACCAAAGGACATACTTATGCATATGTTCATAATTATATTTATGCATTGTTACATTGTTTTAACCTCTTTATTTCACAAATTTTCAGGTATTATGAATGTATTCTCCTCAAAAGCGGAATGTGCAAAACTCGCGGAGTAGAAAAGAACGGAGTTTTTACGTTCAAACCAGAGCACACTCACGAATCGAATATTAACGAAAATAAAGAAAGAAAATTTAAGCAAGAGCTGTGTGTTAAATCGGTTAAAACTGACAACTACTTCAAGGATATTTATAATGTTACCCGTCTAAAACACCCTGAAGCAGCTATACGCATTCCATTCGCAAAATGCGAAAATTTAATGTACAAATGGAGAACAACAACTTGGCCTAGGAAGCCAGACTCATTGAGAGAATACGCCCTTATTGTGAATTCTGGAGAAAACGAAGAGTGGAGACAGTACAATGGCGGAGTTTTCACATTCTCTCACGTAACTGATGTTGTTGGTTCCAATTCAGTAATCATAATGGATGTGCAATTTGCTAGGAAAATTATTGAAGGAAATGTTATGAACATTGACGGGACTTTTAAAATTATACCCAAACGCATGAACATAATGCAATTTGTCACATTGATGATAACTAGATTCAATCACGTAAGGAAAATTCAATTTTATTATATATTACATTATATTATATTTCGTTAATACAAGAGTACATATGATTCAATTTTGTATTTAGCATATACTCAACTCATTGAATATACAAAAACCCGGTCCGATATTGATTTGTCCCCCGGGATAATTTTTCATAGACTTGGTCACACTAATTACGAATCTGCAAAGAAAATAAAATTTAAATTACAATAAAATAATAACAATAGCTGTCAGAATTTTGTACTTAAATTAAAATGAAAGCTTGAATCTTAAAGAATTTCACACAAGGAAAATATAAAGATCTTATGTACCTTAAGACGACTACAGATCTTTTTTTTATTTACGTTCAATTTTATCATTTATCATATCTGACTAACTCCACATTATAACCCTAGCATTGTGAAACAAGTGATGAACAAATTAATTTGACATCTTTTGAAATTTAAAAATTTTTTATATGTTCGTTATGAATTTCATTTTTTGTTAATTATTTTTTAAAATATCGGAATATATAAATTTAAGTTAATGTGAATTTAACAATGTTTCTTTTGTAAGACTTAAATAACATATCTTAGTATAATTATTATTCTCTAATTTTATGGAATATTTCATAATTTTTACAAAATAAATTTTTTGTAATAAAAATTTAATTTTAAATATAAAGACACTCGTTTGCTTGTTTCGTGGGATTATCTTTGCTCGAGCGATCGCGGATCTAGAAATCACCTTAAGACGCTAGAGTCCCAGGAGAATCCTTTCTCCGTATTAAACCATCTCGCCTTTATCCCACATATGCCGAACTTTCTGTGCATTTGCTGCACTCACGTGTATATTTATGTTTATTTAAATTATAAATAGATGTCTCAAAATTTACTCTTTTGTACTGACACTTAAACAAGAGGCATATCTATTTTATTAACCCTCAACTGGTACACCTTTTTTAATCAAAAGCATGTCATTATTGTGTTTTATCATTTTTCAATTTTTTGTGCAGAAAAAATGGAATATTATTGCACTTACAGGGTTTCGCCTTGGCATATGTTCTGATGGAAAACAGAACTCAAACAGCGTACACTTCAGTACTGAATGAAATCAAGAGAATCCTTCCAGAACTTAATGCTACAACGATCATGACCGACTTTGAAAGGCCTTTGCAAAACAGTTCGCAAGAATGCTTTCCAAATAGTAGACATTATGCTTGCTACGTTCATTACACACAGGTAAATTGTATACAAAAATGTATTTTTGTATATATATTTTTTTATGTCACTTAGACTTTAAAACCGTGTGAAAAAAAATTGGAAAAATTGGAACTCAGAACTTTTGACAAAACTGTCTAAAAACTTGGTTCTTATTATATAGTATATTTTCTCTTGAGGGTTAGAAAAAATAAATTGGAGCTAATCCAATTGAAATTGCACTTTTACGAGTTCCTTTTGATAAAATAAATTGTATCCTTATTCGATTGAAAATGATTAAAATTTTTTTTTCGAAAAGTTAATATTTAAAAAAATCAACAAAAATTGGTAGTTTGTTTCTGGTATGTAACTGTAGGCAGGGCGCGAGTTATACTCCCACTTATCCAATTATTTTGTACTATAATTTTAATTTAGTTAGGAGTCTAGTGTTAACAATGTAAATGAGTTGACGATTTGTTTAGAGCTGCATCTTTGTTCACTATTATTTTATAATTTGAATGAAGGTTCAATGATTTGAATTACAGTTGATAGAAAGAAAGTTGATATATTGAATGAAATGAATTTTTGAAAGTTGATATACTTTAATTATCTTTATTTCTATAAGCAAGCAATATTATCGTTTCTATAAAGAATAATAAAATAAAATAATTTTTATATTTAGGCAAACTATCGGAAGGCTGTAAAAAAATTCGGTTTAAAAACTTATTTAAAGCATAACCAAGAAGGCATTCACCTCATGCGCCAAATTATGACATTAGCGTTACTTCCACCCGGAGTTATTGAGCAAACGTATAGGTCCATTAAACGCTCGTAAAGTGCAGAATGCTTAAGAACAATGAAAGGATTTTTGGAATACTACGAAAACCAATGGTTACGATTCACGACTCCAGAAGTCTTTAGCGTGTACGGTTTAGCGAACCGAACCAACAACACAATCGAATCATACCACATGACATTAAAAAGACACTTTGGAATTCATCCCAGCATTTGGCCATTCACGAAAAAATTACTCAACTACCAAGCGGGATTATTTTTGGATTTTCAGACCTTAGAGAGAGGAAACGAAATAACCAGAAGTCCTAAAGCAATAACGATCATGAGAGACCAAATAATTGTGAATGGTTGGTTAGAAATTCATGACGGTCACAAAACACCATTGGAGTTTTTAAACGCATACATTGCATTTAATCAGCAACCGTTGGAGCGATACTTGGATGCTTTTGGAATATAAAGACAAATAAAATTGAATTTTATTTTAATCACCTATATTTTCAAAAAATTGTAATGTACGAGATTTTTTAGACGTACTCTCACCTTTAAAAAGCACCCAGAATTTAATTCGGGATTTCACGTTTTTGAATAAATAATTACTTCAACTCTCTTGAACATGACCGCATTTTTATTTCGGATTATCGGTTAATTGTTTCCATTTCCTTTTGCAACTGAAACAGAAATATTAAATTTTATTACAAATTTTGTATAATTTACTTTCAAATGAAAACAATGGACTGCTTACAGATTGTTGTAGGGTTCGACGAATTGTTGATTATAAATAAAAATTTAGTAAAATTTATTTTGTTGAATAAATAAACTTCTGTTATCACTATCGCGAGTCTACATCTACAATTTACATTTAATTTATTTACAATGTGATTTAATCACACTTACTAATTATCACCCTGAGTAAATTAGAAATTAAAAAAAATTGTTAAAACAATTTCTAGTGAAATATATAAAAACACAATACATGGAGATTTCTATACTCACTCTACTATTACCGACAGGAATAAATTTACAGGGATGAGAAACTCGCAAATTAAAATAATCGAAAGTGACAACTGGACTTTTTATAGATAAAATAAAGCGTAGACAATTTTATTTTTTTGTGCAAGTGGTAATTCCATAAAATAAACTTTTATGCAATTAAGATTAGGTAGAAAAATAATTATTTCATTTTCAAGTTTTGAAGAATAAGAATTGTATGAATAATGACTTAATTTAAATAAAGTTAGAAAAAATTAATGATTTTTCATATTATGCGTTATTAAATTTACATATAGATCATTTTCGCATTTGACTAAATAACAATTAAAGATAAAAAATATTTACTGAATTATAAATTACAAACTTTTTATTTAGCACCTTTAATAATTAGGTTCAATAAATGTTAGAAAACATACACCGTAGCATATAAAAATATCTTCTTATTTAAAGTTTCGGAACAAATAAATTTAATTATATTATGATTCTGGTCATTAAAAAAAGATTAAAGAATTATTTTCAAAACATATTTTTAATAAAATTCTTAATTGAAATAATAAAAATTATCGTAATATTACATGTTTTAACAATAAATTCTGCCTGAATCCAAATTCCAGATTTTAAAGTAGGTAAAATTTCGTGTAGATAAAATCAAGATTCGGAGATAGACATGCACTCGTTTGATATAAAAAAAATTCTATATTTATATAAATAATACTTCTTTTTTTTACAATTAAGCACATTATTTGTTATTATTACTATTAACAAACTATTAAATTAGTTGAATTAATCTCACATTAAAAAATTTTAGGTTATATTCAATAAGTTTCGTAGAAATTTGTAAAAATATATAAATTTAATAATTATAATTCATAATAACAATTGAAAATTAAGAATACTTACCTTTCCGGTTTTTATATGCTATTTTTCATTAATAAAACTCTAATTTTCATTCAACTTTTATCACATTTCTATTTTAAATTAAAAACACGGCATAACGTGAAAAATCACGGATGGAACAAAGTCAGGCCGGGTCAACTCCGTTGAATGAAAATGGCAACATTCAGCGCCTCTACAACCAGCGTAGCAACTAATTTTTACTCAGCTTGTATATCTATATCTATTGTATGTATAGATATACAAGCTGAGTAAAAATTAGTTGCTACGCTGGTTGTAGAGGCGCTGAATGTTGCCATTTTCATTCAACGGAGTTGACCCGGCCTGAACAAAGTAAAGCTTTCCTGTGTTCCGAGCGACAAAAATCTGTAACAGTGACGGATCATTGACGTTCAGGCCCGAGGTTTGAGACTAAGTCGCCCCGATCACTGTTACTCAGTGCTGTAATAAATAATGAGTTTGCGCTTTAAATAATAAATTTAAATTTGATTTATTGCAAGAAGTTGATAGAGAATTGATCGACTATTTGAATAATGAAAAGAATGGAAGAATAAATGCAAATTGATTAAAAAATAAAATTAGAGAAACAATTATTTGATTGTTTTGATATGAAGATTTTATTTTTGAATCAAAACAAATATACAATTAATTAAAGTTAGTAATTACGTAATATAGAAAAGTACTCCAAAAAGGGTTTTTCTGCAGTTTCCCCTTTTGCTAGAAAATTGTTCTAGGTGAATACGAGTACTAATAATTATTGCTGCAGAGAATTGAGTCTTGATTAAAAGTTAATTAATTAAGAATAAAAGCGGTAAATTTGAACTTAAATTTAAGTTCTTTGAAAATTAAGAAAAATTAATATAAATAATTAAAATATACATAAATATATATATGTATTCGAATAAACGCAACAATTAACTATAATAATCTTGGTATTCATTCATTCATTCATTCATTCATTCCGTCCGGACCCCTGCTGGGTTTTCGGTGACAGAGAAAGGAACAAGTTATGGAGAGAGAAAGATATATCTTTATTTTGCAAATGAGGGTTCGCTTGACCTGCAATCTTTTAAAGAGGATTAATTAATAACTCTGAGGACCCAGGTAATAATTTCTTTCTCCCTTTATCACGTGAAAAAACTTTAAAGAAAGTCTAAAACTGAATAGGTAACGCATACCTTTCTTTCTTACACCAAGGAATATAACATAAGTACTTCTTCGTTTAACATTGCGTTTCTCTATCTAGACAATTCAAAATGGCATAAGAACACTTTTTTTCAATTTTATATATTTTTGTCCACTTTTTGGTATTACCATAAAGTTTGAACTCTTTTTCACATAATTATATATTCTATTTAAATTATATTGTGATTAAATAGAAAAATTTCAAGTTTTTGGAACTTGATACATTTTTCTTGTATTCAAGGTTTGTGTTAAACAGTGGGACACCTATTTATTAAATAATGAATATTTGTTTCAATAATAATATTCTGCTTCATACTTTATAAATATATATGTTTGGCATTAAATAACGTTAACAAATGTTGCAAAACACTTATATTTTAATAATATTTTACATTTTTATAATACGATGTCAAGTTTCATATAAAAAATTGTTATTATTTTTTTTACGTTTACAGTACTGCTGATCATACGTCATAATTTGGTCATAACATAAAAACAATTTGGAGGAAAATTTGAATAGTCGTTCTCTGATCAAGTGTTATTTTTCAAATGTTGCCGAACAATAATTGTAATAATTATAAATTTTGAATTTTTTAATGGTTTTAGCATAAAAAAATCACATTTTTAGTCGCTGTGTAAGTATAAATGCGCATGCGTATAGATAGTGTGTTGTCATAAACATGGTTTACATTTAAATTTTGGTCGAGTTTCTTTAAGTAGTTTTTCAGAAAATTAAAGTGACCTACTGTTTAAACTGTCCCACTGTTTATCACTCTCCCCTACCTGTATTAGAGCCCCAGAAAATTTTAATAAAAAAATTTAAAAATTATTACCTGGCCCCTCAGAATTAATCTTCATTAACAAAGGCTCTATTGTCCAAGGATTGGTATTGTTTGTGGTAATTGTTCTGAGAGTCTAATACTGGTATATACATATTTTTTTTATTTTTAAAACAGAAAGAAAGAAGAGTAAGATTTTTAGGCGAAGATATTCTTATGTTATTTTGAATCCTCTAGATAGAGAAATGCAATATTAAATGAAAATTATATGTTATATTCCTTGATGTGAGAAAGAAAGATATACATTACCTCTTCAGTTTTTGACTTTTATCTTTATATTTCCTTGTGATAATACACGGAAAAAATTTCGAGACGTCGGACGTGCCGATGTCAATGTAAACCTACTGTACATTTCATTATGTACTCAGAGTTAATCTTCCTTAACAAAGGTTCTATTGGCCAAGGGTTGGTACATCTTTATTTTTCTATATAATAAATGTGAAAAAAGAAATTATTACCTGGGTCCTCAGAGTTAATCCCCATTAACAAAGGTTCTATTGTCCAATGGTTGGTTTTTTTGTGGTATTTGTTCCTGGGTTTTAATACAGGTATAAATACGTACATATATATGTTATTTGTAATGAACTACTGACTACTCATATAAGAGTGTCCTTTTTGCACATATTGGCTGATCAGTAGTTACTGATTCATAGTTACACAGAGTTCTCTCATTCTTTTGGATATTTGGTAGTTTTATTGGATTAAAGTAAAAATTGGTTATATTGGATTAAAGGAAAAATTGGTTATATTTAGTAAAAGGTAAAATTAATTGTATTGAATTAAAGGAAAAATTGCTTATTTTTAATAAAAGGTAAAATCGGTTGTATTGAATTAAAGACAAAATTGGTTATATTTAATAAAAGGATAAATTGGTTATATTAGAGAGAGTGAGCAAAAGGGTTAAAGATATTTAGATTTTCATCAATCAAAAATAAAATTAAACGAAGTATACTATGGCCAACATAAAAGAGTATGTTATTTTAAGTGATAAAGATTTAAAAATTATTGAAAATAGAAATAAATTATTATTAAATTACATGCATATGCACAAATTTGAAGAATTATTAAGAAAAGATTCCAATTCATTTTTCAATGTGCAAAGTACTTTGTATGTACAAATGCTTGATTTTATTGTCCCAATTAGAGAAGGTGATAAACATATTCAAATACTTTTTAGCGGTAATAACAATTATGGTCACTGAATTTATGTTTATTACGATAGAGTAAGGCTTTATATTTTTGATAGCCTTAATGAGGGGTGTTTAAATGTGCATCAAATAAAATGTTTAATTAGATTGTTCCCTTTTAAACCAACAGTAGTTTTTGAAGCTGTTAATCAACAACTTTTTGGTAGTGTTTAGTGTGGAGTATATGCAATAGCATTTGCAACATCTGTATTATTTAACGTAATGCCAAACCGTGTAAATTATGAAACTGATAATAACAAAATGAGAAACCATTTTAAGTCAATGTTTGAAAATAATCGCTTAAATCATCTTCTGGCAGTAAGAACGTCTCACAATAGGAATTCGATAATAGCCCTGGCGGATTCGATTTGCGTAATGTCTACTTAACTAAGCGGACTTTAGGTAGACATTAGGTAGACATGTAAAAAAACGTATAAAAAAGCTATTAATCGACTTATTATGATAAAAAAAAGTTGATAAAAGGGTAAATGAATGTTTATAGAGTAAATTCGTACAAAATTTGTAATTAATAAAGCAATAAATAATTAATAATGAATGGAAATGTGCGCGAGG